CAATCCTTAGTCAAAAATGTTATTCGCGACCAAAATGGCCTAGAATCCCACTTCTTATGTTAGGAATGACCTCTAAATTTAATTAAATAACAAAAGAAACTTATAACAAATCGTATAATTAATTTTAACAAAATCAGTACAAGAACTTATAAAGCAAATATGGTATGATATGGAGATTCGTTCGAGAGCACGTCTGTCGTCCAAAAGAGCACACCGGGTTTCGCAGCCTTTTATAGACGCGCCGCACGACGGTGGCGCCACCAGCAGAAGTTACAGCTAACACTATATATTCTATGTCGACGCGGGTGGATAGCTAGTATACAATAAATAGTACAATTTTTTCACCGGTGTACTCACTATCTAGATACTACAAACACAATATATTATGTAGCGACACCTCATCATACCATATGTATATAATGCTACAGTGGTGGGATGATAACCACCGCGCTACATCATCAAGCAAATTCTTAGTCTATTTTTAAATGTTGCTTGTGTTTGCGCTGATCGAATGGAGTGGTAGAGAGTTCCAGAGGCAAATGGCTTGGACAGTGATGGAGTTGTAATAATATGTGGAGGATTAAGAAGAGATTGTCAAACATAGGCTTCTGGCACTACGCAAGAAACCGGGGATTTAGTGTAAAATTGGGACTTCGTTTTTAGATATTCCGGAGTAGAGGGGTGGAAAAGAATAGAGTAAAGAAGGGATAATATATGAATATTCTTGCGAAAATGAATGGGAAGCCACTTGAGTTGACTGCGAACATTGGAAATGTAGACCACGTTCGCAGTCAACTCAATTCGCAGGTTATTTACGGACACCAAAAAGGCAATCGCCATCAGCGACGACAATAAAAGGATCTTGCCTTGATAAAACCTACACTTTAATGAAATGAAATTTATTTGCGTATTATACAGTTAGATTCGGTAAATTGTCCAGGTAATAACATTATTGGCAACTGTTTAATTGCCCCAATTTACGGGCATGCAAATTTTGAGTATATTAAAATTAAATAATCTATCTGAAAGCCGAAGAACATCTTCTTGACAATCGTTTATATACAAATCTCCGTAGTCTTAGTATTTTTCCTGCATTTTCTATTTGCCTATGTACTTACAAAAATAAAACTAGAACTCAATTTTTATTAGATATCTTGTTCAGTTTATCTACATTTATAGATAACTGTACAATATCAACAAACACAGAGGATTTTTTTAGGTCATTGTTTGTGTGATTTGTCGGTGTAGATTACTAGAAGTGTACTATTAAAATGAAAACGAAGTTTGTTATACATATTTATAAGAAAAATTTACAAAATTAAAAAGTTATTAACGTTTAAAAGAGGTGTTACCGGCACCACACACACGAATTGCTTTGTCTTAATTTTATTCTTTTAATGTTTTTTTTTTTTTGCCCATTACTCGTTGCCCATTACCACGTATATAAATTTCACTTTCATTGTAAATGATGCTGGTAAGAACACCTGCCTCAAAATGCGATTTTTCTAAATAATAATAATTAATATTCGTATCTGGTATCTTTTTTAGATTTCATTACCATACCATACGTAGGTGCATAGCGCATATATATAAATACATTGAGTCACAGTTACCTCGGACAATAGACTATTATACTATTGTTGTGGCAGGATAAGCATTATTATTTTGTACCTCATTATTTATATAGTCAGAATGGTCGACTATGCTAAGAGACATCCATGGGCGACAATGCCGCTCGAGGCACGTTCTTGTTGATCCCGACGATCCCATAACGGCAGTTAATCACCCTACGGGTCCACCCGTTCCGCCCTTACCACGCTCCGCCCTTACCACTTTCACACACACACACACAAATAATAAACAAACAAACACGAAAACGTCCTCGCTGGCGAAGACGACGACCTCAACCATACCATACCGCGCAAACGGGCGCTCCACACCGGTGCAAACGGGTCGAACCTTCGGTCGATCCCCCTATCGAAATTACGACGGCCTGAGCCGAGATTCGAACCCATAGCAGTGCCCTCAGACTAGTCGTATCCGTCAGGAGTTGACATTCGTCAGGAGCCGCTTCATAAGTCCTTCCGTGGTTTGGACTGCCACTGCACTCTGTCCCTCATCGTTCGTTACAGCATTAGAGTAGTCCAAAAAAAATCATTATATAGGAATTTGACTACAATATATTTCGACAATGAACCATAAAAGACGAAGATTAATCTCCGTTCCTACTCGCCATAACAAAAATACTTTGTAGATATACCTAGATATACCTACATGTGTCTAGCCCGCACTGAACATAGAGTGGCGGGCGGATTTTTTTGATGTATTTTCATTAAAAAATGAAAGTAAATAGTGTATTATTATCCCGAATATTCTCCGAGTGACATAAAAAGTAATACAGTATAGTATGTGTTGTTCCTTCTACTACGTTACATACTTATTTCCTGACATTTTTTAAGTTTGCTCAAAAGCATTGTTCCGTATTCCGAACTTCCTTATTCTAAGCAGGTCGTATCACCGGCTTGCTTACTGGAGCAAAAGGCGCTTGGTAATACTGGCCACCAATAAAACATGTGGCCACTTAAATTTCGAAAATAGAATAAAAAAACAATTGAAAATATGAACTGGAATAAAAAGGACGCTCCGTATTTTTTAACTATAAAACAAGAAAAATATTAATTTATTTGATATAAATATAATTGTTTTTATGAAAATATATACAATTATACACTGTAGAGTGCGTGACCACTAAACATTGCTACGCATCGAACAAAGGTAAGTAAGTTTGGTTTTACATTGCTTACTTTGGGTGTTCGAAGTGTGGAAGACGTTCTTCCAGGTCGAAATCGTATTTCTCCTTCCTTTTCCATTTATTATTTTCTTTTCAATAAGTATACTCTATTTTATTTATTACTTTATACGGATCCGTAATCCAACACATTGTGATTATGAATAATTGTTGTCTATGGTTACCTATCAATCAAAACTTCTGTCTCTTGACAATATCATTGTGTGTGGAAATAATTTTGCTTATTAATTTAACGTAAACATTAAGAAATTCCTGCATAAATATCACCGTCACATCCGTATCAAATAACGACGTGACGCCTAAATACTATACCTGTAACTAAAAAAACCTGATATATGCTTATTTTTACTGGTTCCTTGCTAGCGTAGGTACATTCAGTTCGAGGTGAGATGAGCGTAATCTCATCTGCTAAATATATACCAACGTATTGTAGATAAGAACACAATAAGCGTTGTATGTTTATTTTTTATTTATAGATAAAACGAAAAGACAATGTATACGGAGATATATATTAGGAAAGTATATACATAACAGAATAAAGTATAAAACAAGATTGTACTATAAAAGAGTTAGTAATAAAAATACATTTCTGATTAGCCAGATACAACAGTATGTTTATTATTACACATTCAGAGAACGTTTACATTAACACTCCCGCAACGTTGGTTCTCAATTTATATATTCAAATATTCTATATGTACTAAACTGGACGGTAGGAAAAAATATTAATACAAACAACAACGTTCATAACCGGCAAAAATGTCCTACACAAATAAATTATTTTTAATTTGATATGATTTTCATATCGTCTCGAGCAAGCGGTTGGAATATACTTGAACACGTACTAAAATAATAACATAAGCGAGTGCACTGCAGAGCGTAATTGTTATGGAAAACAGTTTTAGATTTTATTTTCCTTGATTTATTAATAAACCAATCAATTTAACATACTATTGATGCTGGAATGTTAGTTCAGTTAAATTCAATTTAATTGTCGGTTTGTAGCTTAATACTATAAAAGTTACTTTATGTTAGGTAACCAATAAAATTGTATTTTTGTGTAAAATTTTAAAACTAATATGATAAAATAAAAACTCACGATTAAACAAATCGATAACGAAGGTACAACAGTATCCCGCTACAGTTGGTAAAATTATGTTTATTTGAAAATTTGACAACTACAATTTAGTCTCTGAGATTAAAAAACATATTATACATAGTTTAAAAACGAAGGAGTTGTTAGAAATAAAAATTGTGTTAGTAAACGACTTATAAACTATGTTAATAAATTATAATCTACAGAGATATACACTTAATTCATATATCTGTGTCCACGTCCAGAAGCACTGGATCCGCAATGCAACGATATCCAGTGCCTCTGGAGCGGACAATCTCATATTTTTGCAATAGTTGTTAGGATGCTGTTTGCGCTCCCCCGAATGCTAGACATCAGTGATGTAACTCTTTTGCGCATTATGGCCTGAAAACCGTCTACCTGACCGCTGCTGCAAGCATCTCTGATGCGCTACAGAATCGAGGGAGCCCCAACAACATCCTAAATCCATTATTATATTGTACACGAAGTGAGATATAATGGAAGTCGTAACTGATGTCCACTGGAATACTGGAATGCACTGAAAAATGTTAGCTGCTTTGTACCAAACTTTGATCAATACATTTTTATATAATAATAATAAAGACATTTATTCAGCATTACATCAGTATTCGTATTTACTATATAACTTAAAAGCTAAAACATACTGGTAACGCCGAATGTGACTCCCAGCTTTTATACTGTAGTATAACTAAGTTATACTACAGCGCTGATTTTCAGCGGGGCCACCAGACTCGAGACAGTGTACGTACAGATTACAAACGAAAATATAAATTATGATTAAGACCATTTTATAAATATGACAATTAATGTATAGTATAGATAAATGCAACTTTCATTAATGTATGTAGTAAAATATAGATTATAATATATATAATAAATATTTTTTAAATGTATAATGTACATAAATAGTGTATATATTTTAGATGCTCATTTTATTTTATATTGAGTTGACAAATCATTATTACACATACATATTATACATATGTATATGCAGAAATTTCTAAATAGTATCAATATAGTCATTGATTCTATAGTAATATTCCTTTCATGTATTATTTTATTTTATTTTTTTAGGTAATGATTACGAGTCTTTCACCAAGTTGCAATGGACGATCGACCGGTCCTACTTAGAAATGCGTACAGGCAACAGTCTCAATCAGGTACTTATGTTTTTTTTTGTTCTTATATCCTTTTTATAGAATAGAATATAATAAGAATATAAATTCTTCATTCAAATAAACTTACATAGTTATCCTACTCTTAATCTACGGCTCTTTTGGAAAGATGTCTCTTCACAAGAAGAATGAGCAAAAAACTTACGTTTTGTTCTTTCAAATAATCGTTGTAATATTATTTAGTAGAAACGTGCGAGTGCGAACTACCAACTAGCACTAATTTATTGGGTTCAAATATTAAATACACAATAAGATTTCATCTTATTCTCAGTTGTAGTGATTAGAGCAGACCAGTTCCTACAAGCATTCACGAGTAGGGAAAAAAAATTATAATGTAAAAACTTGACGTTCATAAGCGGCTAAAATGTCCTACATGAATAAATAATTTTAGAATTTGAATTTGAAAAAAAAAAAGTATGTCGTACATATTCGTATGAGCCAACCATCCAACCAACCACAGCGCTCGATCATACTTCAGGTAACCCAATGACCCAACCTGCCTGCCCGGCATACTTTAGTTATAATTAAAACCACATACAACCCCTTTCAAATATTACAGACTTATGACTTTCTGTCAAATGAAGAACTTGACTTATACATCTCCAGTAAGGAACACGCCAAAAAAAAAACCATATTTGTTCTGTTCACTTTTTGTTATTTATATCTTATATCTCTTAGTATATTAGTTATCGTCATAATATTGACTCGTTGGTCACAACTCCTCGTCTTACTCCTCGTTAAATTATGATAGATTATGAAAAAATTTATCCACACTACCTATATAACATATTCTATGAATACTACAAAAAATAATTGTATATTTTTAGATAGATGTACATTTATAGTGTTCTTTAGTCTAAGCAGGTTGTATCACCGGCTTTCTTACTGAAGCAAAGGACGCTTCGGTAATACTGGCCACAAATAAATACATGTGGCCACTTAAATTTCAAATTTAGAATAAAAAACAATTGAAAATAAGAACTGGAATAAAATGGACGCTCCATATATTTAACTATAAAACAAGAAAATTATTGATTTAATTGTTACAATAAAATTGTTTTTATGAAAATATATACACTCTTAGAGTGTATATATTTGCCACGTGGCCACTAAATAGTACTATATATCGGACGTTCCTAAGCAAAGGTGAGTAAGTTTGGTGTAACATTGCTTACTTTGGGGTGTTCGGAGTGTGGAAGACGTTCTTCCAGGTCGAAATCGTATTTCTCCGTCATTTTCCATTAATTATTTTCTTTTCGAAATATACAGTCCACTCTCTATTTTATTTATTACTTTATAAGGATTCGTAGTCCAACATAGCTTTTAAAATTCTATGTTTGTTTTAGCGCATGTAATACCTACATTATAACTTATCTTCAAATAATTCGCGAATGCCAAAACTAGCGGCCTTCAATTTAAACAATAACATGAATTCTAAAAGTGTATATTTATTTACTTATATATGCCACAGATAAAATAATATACATATTGGTATATAGGTAATAATAATTATATAAATAATCTATAATAATATATAAATAAATAATCTCAGGACAATTCACACAGCGCCATCTAGACCCAAGTTAAGTTAGCTAAAGCTTGTGTTATGGGTACTAGACAACTGGTACAAATACATAGATATGTTTTTTTTTCGTAAATACATACATATTATACATTGAAAATACCCAGACCGATACAAACAATCATACTCATGAATACAAATGTTTGTGCCGTGCGAGGAATTGAACCCGACCATCAGAGCAACAGCGGTGTGCTAGACCACTAGAGTACCAAGGTCGTCAAAGATACATTAATACACACATATATCCGGTAGTCGGCATATAATGATAGTAACCTATCAGATACGTATATATAAATATGCTTTGACATCCGATATTAATATCCGGTAGATAATAATAACCGATCAAACAAAGATCAAATTATTTATACTAGCTATTCGCCCCAGCTTCGCACGGGAGTACATGTATTATATATTATTCCTCTTGAATCACTCTATCTATAAAAACGCTTCAAAATCCATTGCGTAGTTTTAAAGATTTTAGCATACATAGGGACAGACCGACAGCGACTTTATTTTTTATACTATCTAATGATGATGATTCTTTATGCCATTTCATAAAGAATAAAAAATAAAGCACTCACTTGGTAATAGGTAAATAACATATCTTTCTACGTTGATGATTACAATATAATAAATTTCAGTAATTCCCCTCATTTTTGCAGTTTGTCATGGTCATTTATAGCTAGGGAAGACGTGACAAACATACCACGAATAATGAAATGAAAATATCTTTATTCGTGTGGCCTTACACGAGTAAAGATATGGTGAGTCAAGTATTTATATCGTTAATTGTCCAGGGTTATTATTATAATAAGAAATTAATGGAAAAAAAGAAAAATCAAATAATTCAGTAGCCATAACTTAAACAGATCAGTATACCGAAACAGCTAAAATTGTTATAAAAAAATAGGATTTGAGGATAAAAGGTGAAAATTTGGGGTTTTATGTATTTTTTAATGGTAAAATTAAGGGTGGACAACCTTTAACAATTAAAGTTATGAAAATTAAATGGTAGCCGATTCTCAGATCTAATTAATATGCCTATAAAATGACATAAAAGTCGTTTCGGAGGAGTATAGTACATTGTGACACGAGAATTTTATATAAAAGATTACGTGGAACTACACATGTAAGAGGGGAGTCCCCTTCTGATTTCGTTCTGATACTTCTGATTTCGTTCTGTTCGTACGGTTTCTCGGTAAAGAAGTGCCGGTGTCAGGTTGAAAAGTAGTCGTCTATCATGGTGTGCGCATGTAATGCGTAGGAATGAAGAGAATAAGGGCAGAGGAAGGTCGAAAAAGAGATTGATGAACTGTGTGAAAGATGATATGACAAGATAGGGGAGTAAATAACGAGATAACTGCGAACAGGGATGAATGGATGAGAAAAAAAATTTACGTCGACTCCAAATGAAGTAGATTGTTTTTCGATATTAAAATGTAAATTAATATTATTCTAATTTGAAGTAGTCTAGTAGTTATATATTTTTAATATCTAGGATGCCATACGTACCAGGATCAATCAAATCAAAAGTCTATTATAAACACTTATGATAAGTAAAACATAGTCAGTTCGTATTATCTTATTATAGCCTAGTTGTTATATATGTATATATTTTAACGGCCTTTGTCCGCGACTTTTTCGCGTGGTTATCAAAAACACTATTGCGATTATCTTTTGCCCTTTTTTAGATAATTTTAAAGAGGAATAATTCTTTCATACATATTTTGTGAGTAACTTGAACCGTTTACGCAGCGCACGCAACGGAAGCTCTCAAATATGAATAATTTCCCCCGTTTTGCAACATTTTACACTGATGCTTCTCTTCTATTGGTGGTAGCGTAATGTTATATCGCATATCTACTACAAAACTGGTGTAATTCAGAAATTAAAAAATTTCAAATTGGACCTTAATGCCACTGTTATAATGTGGACTTTCCAAAATTTGTAATTTTTAAGTATTATATAATAAGTATGCGATATATAGCTTAAAGCCTTCCTCGACAAATGGACTATCCAACACAAAAATATTTTTTCAATTCGAACCAGTACTTCTTTAGAGTAGTGCGTTCAAACAATTAAACAAAGACTTCAGCTTTATAATATTAATATAAGTATTTTTTCAATTTTATTTTAGACTATCGCCGTGCAAGAGTTCCCGTTCGTGAGCAACGAAGGCAATGAGGAGATCCTGGGCTTAGCCCCATTATTCGCAGTGCTATGTTTTATTTCGCCGATGCTTGCATACGTGTTCCTCATCTCGACGCTCGTCGACGAGAGGTGCTCTGGTATACTGGTGAGTAACAGATTTTTTTAAAATGAAAACAATGAAAGTTTTACTGGTACTGATTAAATAAACTGGCTGTTATATACAATATTCGTCGAATGTCCGCGGTTTCACACACTTAAAATTTATCGCATATGTTCTATTCTCATGTAACAAGCAATATTATTGTAAAGTTTCATTAAAATCATCAATATTGGTTAGTCTATATGGTAATACTAGCTGTTTATGACCTGTCGTCTCGCGCCGAGCGTACATGGGCCGCAGTGCGCGAGAGGGGAGATGTTCCCGCGCAGGCGCCGCGGGGTATGGCCAGGAGATATAAGAAGACATAAATAACAAATAAGTGAACACTACATTGGTGTTTAACAAAAATTATAAAGTACGAATAATGTGGCCAAGTTGTTATAGACGTTTATAACATGAAATAATATCTAATGTTCCTCTTTATAATATTAGTATAGATAAATAAAAAAACAACACCAAGAATTATATGTTTACATTGGTTTAGTCATTAAAGTTAACCAGATATCAGTTGTTAGTATAGTACCTATATAGTGTGTATATTATTTGTAACGAGTTATTATTAGTAGTAATTACGAAAAAATTGCAATTCTTGAACGAATGCTGGATTTTTTCCATCATATGTAGGTATATATGATTTCGCATTAGTACTATCGAAATAGACTTAGATCGACTTCACGGTCTTTTCACAAATTAATGCCTTTCTTTTTAATTTGTATTGGATGTTGGCCATTATTTTGAAAACTATAAGTTATTCATAAAAATTATAACTTAATATAAAAGAGGACAAAAATTTGCTATAACGACAATTGTATATGTATACTAAAATAAGTATAATATTACTAACAAACATAATATGGATGGATATCCGAATTAAATCAAAATATAAATATATATAACTAGCTGTGTTCTCAGTTTTACCCGCGTTAGATTTCAATATGTATATAAAGTTCAATAAAAAATATAGCCTGTGTTATTCTGATGCATAAGCTTTATTACTGTAAAGTTTCATCAAAATACGTTTAGTAGTTTTTGCGTGAAAGAGTAACAAACATCCATACTTACAAACTTTCAAATTTATAATATTAATAAGGTTAATAATTTTATTACAGGAACTGTTGAGAATGGTCGGTGTTCGGATGTACCACGTGGGGTTATCTCACCTTGTGTTTACGATGCCGGCATCCTGCTTGTTCGCTTTCGTTGGGACCATAGTTCTAACCACGACCCCCAACCCGTTCGTGCAGAATTCTAACCCCATGCTCATCTTCCTCATGTTAAAACTACATTTCTGCACCATAATAGCTATGGCGTTTGCTGCTTCGTACATCGCCAGAGATAGTGAGTGATTTTTATTATTCAACTATCCATCATTATTGAAATACTTTATTTGATATTTGTGTTATTATTTTTTTAATTAATATTTTGATAAGGATTAATACCAAGATAGTAAGTATTAGAAACAAAACCACCTCGGTTAGCTAAAGGGTGCTTGAATTAATAATGAGCGTTTCAATCAAGAGGCCGCCACTAGTGTATGTTTCAATATTCTAGTTTGCAATGTCTTCCGGCTAAAACCTACACTCTGTGGTCGTCTTAAATAGCTAGTATCATTTGTTTGAAACGTATTAAATATTGTTTCGAAAATGTCCAATTACGTACCAGATAAAGCGTTTTTGCGGGGAGTTCTTCTTCACGCCAAAAAAGGAAGGGCTTTTTGAAACACATTATCACTGCGTCGGCTAAAATTCGAAGAAAGTCAAAACAAAGTGATTTTGCAGCATGACATACACACGGCCACATATTACAAAACCGGTAAAATCTACCTAGAAACTCTGAAATGGGAAGTCCTACCCCACCCGCTGTAATCTCCAGACATTGCTCCTTCGGACTATTACTTATTCCAGTTGATGACACATGGGTCTGACCCAGCAGAAGTTCACTTCAGACAAACAAACAATACTTCGAACAAACCAAAAAATGGGTAGATGATTGGATTGCCTCAAAAGACGAATATTTTTTTCGAGCTGGCATCCGAAAATTGCCAGAAAGATGGAAAAAGGTAGTGGCAAGCGATGGCCAATACTTCGATTAATATATTTGGAACCATTATTTGAAAACAATCTGTAAACGTCTTAAAAAAACGCTCATTATTAATTCAAGTACCCTATATAAACCAAATGCGATGTAGGACCGTCACTGGGGTACAGGAGGAGGATACTTGCTAAGATAATACAATCGGGGAAGATAGCGATAGCAGTTGCATCGAGAAGTCAGGACTTGCAGCAATTCTCTTAAAGGATGGAAAAACGGCTCATTCTACTTTTAAACTTCTGCTATCCGCAAATCTTGAACAATAATCGTTCTATCCACAAAAAAAGGCCTGATAAATTATTACACGACGCCTCATTATGTAGTAGGAAAGCACCATGAGACACTTTGGATAGAACCTTAAAAGACCTTAGAAACACCTTTGCTGTCATTGGCAGGATTACTTTTGTACTTTGCTGGAGATTTCCGACGGACTCTCCCTGTCATTAACATCGTCTCCCTTATGGACTTGAATTTTAAAATTACTGACGAATATGAGTACTCATCTTCATGGAGTCACTGATAGTGTTACCCACACTAACTTTGAGATGGAATTTTTCCTACTCCAAATTTAAACAGAAATTTTAGGATGAGTCCCTATGTCAAATCGTCCATAATTTAGAAATTTTGATAGATGCACCCTGACATCGAGAATTTGCACGAAAATGGCTTTCATTGGTTGTGTTCTAGGGCAATAGTGTTGCCTAGGAATGATATGATACTATAAATCAGTCAACGAAATAATCAATAATAATAACAGTTAAAAAAATTCCCGGCTTAATAAAAAATTACAAATAAATCGCCACCGTGACTAATATCGAAGACGCATTATCCACAGAAATTTTTACTAAATCCTTCTGGTCTACTACCATACGATTTGACGTCAAAAATCGGAATTTCTCAAAATTTAAGCCCACCGAACACATGCAATGGCGTCCCATTGCACTTGTTGCTTACTAAGGAATTGAAAGACAATTTAATTGTAGACCATTATCACCGGCACGGCAGCTGGGCTACTAGCTCATATCCAAGAATATCAATGATCCCAACTGATCTGCCAATACCATTTAAACGGCTTCAATTTCCGGTTAAAATAATAATAATAATATAATAATAATTCTTTTATTGGAACTAAAAATATATAATATTTTACAAAGTAGGGTAGTGTAACGATAACAGCCACATTAGTAAGTAATACTGTGTCGTGGCCGTCAACGCCCACCTCCTTAAGACAGAGGCGTTAGTGTTCCGGTAGCAAATACAATAAATTTATGTAATAAAAAATAATAAAAAGCAAAGCAAAGCCATGCATGATTACGTTTACAACATAACTTTTAGGAAGATAAATAAGTTAAATTAAATACAAAATTCTTAGCCAATATTCACTAATTAGGTTACCTGTATGTAAAAACATTACAATGAAAAAACTTGACGAACGAACGAATGCTATAATGTAATTTAATGTTTATGATTTGTAGTGAGCATAATTCGATTTGATGTGTTATTATATAGATCTGTAAGTATATGTATCTGTGTAAATGTATATGTTGGATGGTATGGATGTGAGTTTTTTTATACATATTCAAATATATTTCAAACCTTTACGAGATTTTCAATGTCGTCGTAATCTAGTTTCTGAAGCCATTGAAACAACAATATTTTAGATTCGCGGAGTGTATGTGGATAAATGGAAACTACCTTATTAATTTTGTTATATGACACTGAACCAAGATATTAATATTGCCGTCGCACTACTGCAAGATTAGAGATTATTATTATAGGTCTACGTTTATTGTGATAATCATTACCTTTAGTAAAGCTCTATTGGGAATTTCCAATCGCAATAATGTATGTCTGTCTTACGGTCCGACATTACAAATAACTTATCTTTAGTGGGATAATAATATACATTTTAATCAATATCTTAGTACAGCTGTTTAACTATCATAATAATAAGCATTTCCCTGATTTTGGATACTTTTTAACTTATAAAAAAGTGTGCAAGTGCAAAATATACATTTTAACAAAAATATCTTAATACATATGAATTAATATCATAATAAAAACTTAGCGGATTTTGGTTCTTTTTTATTTAATAAAAAAGAACCAAAATCCGCTAAGTTTTTAAGATCTAGACATACAGTCTAGACAGAATAGATAGAGTGACTCAAAAGGAAGGTTTAGGATATATAACGTCCCACTGTTGTACACGGATCTTTAAACGCGCCGTAACCTATATATCCTATCTACACGCGGGCGAAGCCGCGGGCGGAGTGCTAGTCTGAAATAAAAGAATAATTCTAAAATAAATGTAACATAAGTTACTCCCCATTACATAAAATTGTAAAAAATGTTAGTTTGGTGTATGTATTTATATTCATATGCATGTAATAAAAAACGGTTCTTTCAATATTACAAACAGACTCCAATTTTATTTCTATGTATAGATGACCTACAGTATACCTCGTAAATGGACTATACAACACAAAGAATTACGCTCAGCGTTATTCAACATTTCTTCATTTTATTTAAAAGATATAAAGTAAATAAAACTACAAAATGAAGAAGTAAAACTCTTTAGTACAATATCACATGACGTATTTAAAATTAAGAAAAAGTCTAATTTTCTCTTTATTGGATATATTTGTAAGATTTCTTTAGGCCAGCTGCTGCCAACAGCAACAGAGTAATACGAAAAGTCGTGTTACTCTTTTCATTATGTATTCGAAGGACTTACGGAGCGGTTGAATACCAATTCCTGGCTGACTGACTGATGATCAATCTATTTTTTCTTTAGAAATAGGAGTGACTTTTACATTCGCCCCATTGTTGTGCGGTAGTCTGGTGCAGTATGACTAATAGCAGTAGAATAGTTAGAATAAAATATAGCGGCGGTTCTGCCACTTAACATCAGTTGCCGTGCAACAAGGTCAGCTTATTTGCTGTTCTTTGAGTTATATAACATAAGTAATAAACTATTGTGCACTAATAAAAACCAAAGTATAGCAGTATGTCTTTATTGCGACGTATCTACTGGGACAGCCTAATCAGTCTATCAAATGATAACACTGATCTATAGTATAGATTATGCTGATAAAAAGTAAAAATTTTAAATAGTGGCACCTTTTATATTTTTATTGTTTTATTTATTTTTAATGTTAGTAGGTATATTAAAAATATATACTTTGAAAAATATAACAATAGATTAAAGAATAAAGAAGGTACAGAAGGCGATCTCTTCCAGACAACCTTAGGATAGAGAATTTTACTAATAAAGTATTTTACAGCACTAGAAGTACTGTAAAAAGTCATGTGCGTGGGTATCAAAGTCTTTCATATTTCAGCCGACAAGCAGATGCTGTTTTGTAATGTATGTTTCGGTAGTAAGGTATGTTTAAGCAGAAAAATTACAGGTTAAGAGACATTACGAGTACAGATTAGTCCTTGGAATGATTACGCATGAGCGGTATAACCCGCGTTACATGGTAACTTCATGTCCGTAGTATGTTTGCGATCGCAAATAGCCTTATTAGTACGAGATCCCGCTGCAGAATCAGTGTACTCATCGAGTGTTTGCTGAAAACCAAATTTTTACACATATTTATCATTAGGAGAATTTATATCTACCAGGTTGCCTATCAAAATGTGGCCGCTAGTATTTTTAATTAAATTATTAATAATTCATAATCCGTAAGAAATTTCATTGACTTGTTTTTTCAGTAAAATGTCGTTCACTTTACGGCAACATCTATAAAGACTGTGAAAAATCATGGTTGCCGTTGCGCACCTGGCCGCACCTCTTCGCAGCCAGGTGTACACAGGTATGATTTTATTACCGCGTACATTTTGTTGAATAATAACAATCTTGCGGCATTTACACTTTGGCACTTTGGAAGTCCATACATAAGGCACGTAAAATGTTGAACTGCATCGATTCACTCTACCTTTAATATTTACTAAATTAATAGCCAGCAACCCTTATTTGCGGCCAGATTTAATTAGGCAACCGTATATGATAATAAACAGAAAAAAATTAGCTTTAATTTGATATATAAATTATGAATGTACGTTGTGGGTGTATAAATGTAATAAAATCATACCTGTGTACACCTGGCTGCGAAGAGGTGCGACCAGGTGCGCAACGGCAACCATGATTTTGCAGTCTTTATAGATGTTGCCGTAAAGTGAACGACATTTTACTGAAAAAACAAGTCAATGAAATTTCTTACGGATTATAAATTATTAATAATTTAATTAAAAATACTAGCGGCCACATTTTGATAGGCAACCTGGTAGATATAAATTCTCCTAATGATAAATATGTGTAAAAATTTGGTTTTCAGCAAACACTCGATGAGTACACTGATTCTGCAGCGGGATCTCGGACTATATAATGTATTTAAAATTAAAAAAAAATTGAAAATAGAACGTCACGTATACAACATCGGTATTGTTTTGTTTCTGTTTATGAATTTATATACACTTTTCAGAACATTCCGCGGCGTTACCAATAAATATACATATATCTTATGTACAAAATTAACAAAAAACATTATTTTATTATTATATATATTACGATCTTAGCAATATTCCTCCAATAAACAATTCTGTTATTAGAAGTACCCACTTAAGTTATAAACTAATAAATAATTTTACCTTAAATTTATTACCACAATTTTAGTTCGTGGAAAACTTAAACGCGTTTGTTTTTAACAGAGCAATATGTGGTGACAATAGCTGTAGGAACATACGTGGCTCTTTGGGTGCCGACTCAGCTTCTCACGAACGTAGTGATGGACCGGCGACTCTTGTGGCTCACCGGTTTCCTCCCCCACATGCCCTGCTACTGGTTCTGGAAGGAGTTGGGCAAGCTTGAATCCTTCGGTATGTTTTATTCATTTATTATTTACCGCATCTGGTGAGAAATGATGCAATCATTTCTCACCAGATGACCACACCTAGAATGTGACGCGCCCCACAAGAAATCTATTCCACATAGAGTTGGAGAATCCGGGGTTGTATTTCTCCGGGCATATGAAAGTGTATTGCATTTTGGTAATGCGTATTAAAAATGACAACGCGAACCTGTTCAGTGCGAATATATGGAGTTTTATAACAATAACAAAATCAATTTTTAAATTACATATTGGATTATTTTGGTACCAAATAGGTCTCCGCTTAGCTTATGACGTGATAGGGTGCCACAACGCTGGTATTCTAAGGATGAAATACAAATATATTTCAGCCGCCAAGCAGCTTGCTTTGTAAGCTGTGTTGCGGTTGTAGAGTGCACTAACGCAGTTAAATTACGGGATAAGAGGCATATCATCTTAGTTTTCTGGAATAGCCACGTATTAGTGTTATTACGAGACCACAAGATTGTTGTCTACTTTTTTAAATTTGACGCGCTCATTATTTATATGTAAAATTAAGAAAATCACGGGATCTTATTACGCTTTATTTATTTTTATCGTTATTCTCATGGGTAAACATTGCGACAATGTTCCTCCGCATTGTCGCAATATAGAGAACTCGAGGAAAATAAATAAAACGTGGTAAGATCCCGTGATTTTTCTTAATTATCATAAAAATATGTACCGCGTCAAATTTAAAATATACACTATAATCTTGTTAATATTTCTTAATTTTGCATATAAACAATGTTGTGTTTTGTAGGCCAAGGCGTGACATTCTCTACAATGCTGAGCTCGCACACCATCAATAGTCCACCTATAGTTTTGGTTTACTTCTTCATGATGATCCAATCTGGGTTATTTATGACGCTAAACTGCTACCTAAATTATGTGTTACCCGGCCTATATTTACAAGGATTACCGTGGCATTTCATATTCAAGGTAATGACGCAAACTACTATAATAATTAGTCATACAGAAAATTGTCATAATAAATGTTAACGTTTTATATACGAGTGAACTGAGACCCGTTAATGTATCCATTTGCCAGTGATACCTAACTAAGTCATTGGAAATTATGTTTCTGATATATAAAAAAGAGGTTTGAAAGTCTCGCTAAAACTGGAGAATGGATTGACCGATTTGGTTAATTTTGGTTTTGAAATATGTATCCAAGGAAAGTTAATAAATGGAAAAAATTAATATAAATATGAAGATATTGCATGGATATAAATATAATAGTATAAACAACAATTTTATTTTCCCATACAAACAGTCGAACAGAATGCGTTTAGAAATTTATTGCGTAACGTAACTTTAAAAAACCTTTTACACCTTACATTACGTTTGACATATTACTTGATTCTGAAGCGTAATGGTTTTGGCGGGGTCAGTTATTAATATATATATATATATATATATATATATTCAGGCTACTATTGATCCATATTGTAAATGCCTTATCAACTAACGTACATATAAAATAAAAAACATAAATGTGTAATGATAGCCGAGTTTAATATTATGATATATGCCTTGATTGTTGACTTCTACGACAACAGAGGTGAGATCTAAATGGGTGCCAAGTTCAATGGTCTGTCCTGAAATGTATTTATAACAATATAAAATATCATTTCTTGTATTATTGGATAATATACTGTACAATCTGACTATACAGTTTTCATATTAATTATTACTTTCGATTGCTAATTACTACTAATAATAAAATAGGAACCGACAAGTAACATGTTTAGTACTTGCGAAGGCTACATTATATTTCGTATAAGAAAACTAGCCAAGTTAGACCTTAGGCTACAGTATATTATCCTAAGTTATAAGAAGAAATGATATTTTATATTGTTATAAATACATTTCAGAACAGACCATTGAACTTGGCACCCATTTAGAAACCTCTTTTGTCGTAGAAGTCAACAATATATTACTATCATTTCACATTTGATCTATAGTTGATCAGTGATAAAAATGATATATTTGGACGTTAATATCTAAATAACCGTTTGAGATATATTTATGAAATTTGGAACACATATTTATCTCGCAAGTCTCAATATATGAACCAAATTTGACAGGTTTATGTTAAAGAGTTTTTGAGTTATGAGGGGGTCAAAAGTGGCTCCAAATGATTCGTGTAAATATACACACGGTGCTGCTCGCCAGTTCTCTTATGAAACTTGTACGCTACCGCGTGTCTAAATAATAGTGTAAATATAAATAATGACCCTGGACAATTCACAGCGCCGTCTAGTCCCAAGCGAAACAAATTTTGTATTATTGGTATTATACAATTGATACACATAATTAAATATTTATAAATACATAATATATACACAGAAAACACCCAGGTTGATACAAACAGTCATACACATGAATACAAATATTCGCACCCTACGAGGAATCAAACCAGCGATTATTGAATCTTTAAAATTTTGAACATATGTACACAAATTTATTTTATTTAGTTTGTATAAAAGAGAATCTGTTTGTTTGTTATTGCCTTATATCATAAACAGAGTGAAGTCTTTTGGACGGATTACATTAATATTTATTGATATTTACGCAAACAAAATCACGAGTAAAAACCAGTAAATCGAAATGTAATAAAAGTATAAAATAAGTTAATGATAAAATACTTTTTAGTTCTTTGGGAAAAAAGTAAAGCCAACCGTTAAGGATGAAGAGGATGAAGGCATGAAATTGAATGAGACGCCTAAAGAGTATTTTGAGGATACTCCGATAGGTGTCAAACCTGGTATAAAAATTGAGAATGTCTACAAGGTAAGAGACATTGCATTTATAAACCTTGAACCACTCATTAGGATGCAATGAGAGCATTATGTCAGGGGCTCGTGGTATACTACAGCTTATGATTAACAAAAATATATTATAATATTATTGGAAAGATGAATATGAAATACTTCTACACATCTTATGTGGTTGTAGCGCACTCATGCATAAATGAAATATCTCCTTTAGAAAGTACACACTCTATCCTGAGGAGATAAATACCGTAACTCCTAAGAATATCTTTCAATTCTTATCCCTGACAACACTAGGTAGCGAAGTCTAGGTAGATGTCTGAAACTTGATGAGCACAATGGATCTCTGTAGGTCGCAGTGTTACAGGTCTAAGAACCTGCTGATAGCCCAAAGCCTTCTATATAAAAGAAGAAACTGAGTTTAAAGTGAGTGTGGACCTGAGCGAAAACTTTGAGTTGATAATAAGTTACAACTTCGCTTTTCTTGCTTTATATTTAAATTAATAATTGAACTAGACGAAAGTAAAAATAATGTTTTTATAGGATTTTCCGAAACATACAGCCCTCAAGGGTGTTTCATTCACGGCAAACCAGGGGGAAATAACTGTTCTACTAGGTCACAATGGAGCCGGGAAGACCACCCTCATGTCCATAATAACAGGTGAGTAATAAACAATACGTAGGGATGTTAAAATTACTATACCATTTCATATTTTTTGGTGGCTCATTATAGAATAACGGCCTATTGTAATGTAATTTTGTAAACATGTACAATTATATTAGAAAAGATAGAATAAGAGCTGACTTTCTTGTCGAATTCTTACCTTGAATGCACTGCGAACTGATGGTAATTTTTTAAATATCATAAGTCTGTAATAGATTTTCATGAATACAGATACTTTGATTTGAAATGACTGCTCGATTAGGGACATAAATGTATAGAAAACAAGTATTTATAAGTGTTATAGAGTATTTTAACTATAGACAAATAATATTAATCTGATCACAATAAACAAAAGAGTATATAGCCGTGTGTGTTTCATACATAATAATATGTGTAATGTGTTTTTATTGATTTAATTTTTATGCATAAATTAAAAAAAAAAATTAAGTTTATACATTCTCTAATGCGAAATTGTATACTCATCAGAGCGCGTAATTTTGGTAAAAAGGAGTACGAAGTTCATATATAGATATATTACATTGCAGGTCTTCACGTTTTCATATATAGATATACTTCTATTGCAGGCATGATGAAGCCAACGAATGGTGATGTATACGTAAATGGCACAAACATTAACTCCAACAGCCGCGTGGTAAATAAGAACATCGGTCTCTGTCCCCAACACAATCTGTTCTTCTCGCATCTCACTGTGCTGCAGCATGTGGTGTTCTTCCACAAGGTGTGTACACTAGAGGAGTCTTCCAGCATATTTTTTATATTTATAGAATTTTTATTTCAAGCAAATTGACACTCCTTCTCATAGTGACCGTCACACATATACATGTCTGATATATATATATATATATATATATATATATATATATATATATATCGAAAAAAATGTATAGACATGTGTATGTATGACGTATATAATATATACTATATTCTATATATATTTATATATATATATATGCGCAGCTCAACCTAAAATATAACCCAAAAGATTTCCGTTCTTTCGTAATTATTTCTACTATCCTAAGCAATATTACCAAAAAAAGCAATATAACGAAAAAAATGTACATGTAACATATTTTTCCAGAAGCTTATTCATCTATGATGTAGAAGAATGTAGTATCTATATAGTACGAAATATCATAGGAAATAGGTTTATGTTTACTATCAGAACTAAAACTCATTTTAAAATCGGCTTTTCTAACACTTGTGAAACTTTGGCAGTTGAAAGGTGTTCCTCATAATGACGCCGTCCAAGATTCGAATGGTCTACTGTCAAAACTGGGCCTAAATGTGAAGTTAAACAGTCAAGTATCGGAACTATCAGGTGGAATGAAGCGTCGTCTGCAACTGGCCTGCGCAATGGCGGGGAAATCCAGCGTGCTCATTCTAGACGAGCCCACCTCCGGCCTCGATGTTCAGAGTAGGCGATCGCTTTGGGATAAACTCATAGTAAGTATTTTTAGGGAAAAAAAGCTTTATTTATCGACTTTCCATCCTGGGAACCTTGAAACATTCACGTTCAGTAGGTACAAGTGAAGACGACTTCGCACACACGTGTATCTACAGAGATTTATATAGACTGTAGAAAACATTTATTTTGGTAATCAATAATTAATAACATGGCGCAATTAGATGGCGCAGTGAAAATATAAAGAAAAATAATTTAATTACTTCACACCCTTATTCCTCAGCCTTTATTCATAAACCCATATTTAACAACATATTCTATAGATATTTGATCACTGATTCCTCCAACTGTTTTCACGTGAAATCTTAACTTATTCTATGATATATTAATAAATAATAGCCTAGACACAATAACCATTTTTTAATTCAAATTAGTAAATGAAACTAGGATAGACTCAAAATATTATATTGTTAGCCTTTATCCCACTAAAAAATCTTTAAAGTACACTTTATTACGTAAGCTGGCAGTACGGTTTCTCTCTTTTTCGTTTTCTGATTTTACATACAGACCCTTTTGCGCATGGAAGCCAATTCGTGAGATAAAGAGAGAACGGTGTAAAGGCTGTTTATGAAACGAAATGAGAACCAGAATGTATTAGCACATGAAACCGTAAACTAGGTTTCCGCACCAATTTGTATTTAAAATTAATAATAAATAATAAAATTTGTTGACAGTTAGGTTTAATTTTTTAATTTCTGTCACTAACCAAACACTATACGGCTATAAATAGTACAAGAAACTAACAGTGTATGATGTACACAGAAACTGCGCGGCGAGTGCACTGTACTGCTGACGACGCACTTCCTGGAGGAGGCGGACGCGCTGGCCGACCGTGTGGCGATGCTTAGCAACGGAGAGCTCTGCGCATTCGCCACACCCATGTACCTCAAAAAAGCAGTCGGTATGTCACATTTGTCCAGTTTCATATATTGCAATGTAAAGTGTGGCATATCAACCATTCGATAAATCATAGAATAGAAGAGAATTTCATTGACTCGTCTTGACACAATAAAGACAAAAAGATATAAACAATTTACACACATTACAAAACAGAATCAATGTGGACCACAATTCAATATAAACATAGTTTCCAGCGCTGATTTTCAATTGAAGGAGATTGTTAGCAATGGTAGTTGTCCTCATTACAGCACACTGCATGCGTCATTGCTGCTGATGTTGGTACACTAAAGCTCTCAATTTACAACCTTACTCAAAATCACCACTTTCGATAAAATTTAATGTTGAAGGTAACATATACATGCATGTCTGAAAAGACTAAAAGTGAAAACGATATAATTAACAAGATATTTTCTTCTTATGTAATTTGCTTCCATTGAATTACATTACATTAAATTCTTGTCCAAATACAGGAACGGGTTATAGATTGACGTTCACGTCTACTGGAGATCACCAGAAGGATGACATCGAAAACATATTGACTTCATACGTGACGAACGCCGCGTTCAAACAGGAATCGTTCAATACACTCGTGTACGATCTCCCATCCAAGGACAGCGACAAATTCCCGGACATGTTCAACGCCTTAGAAGCCAATCGCAAAAAACTGGGAATTGAAAATATAGGCGTCGGAGTCACCACCTTGGAAGAGGTTTTCTTAAAGTAAGTACCTAACCAAGTGTAATGTTTAGGTAAGATAGGTAAGTAGGAGAAAAATCAGCTCGTAATCGTTTCGCCAAGTGTAATGTTTAGGTAAGATAGGTAAGTAGGAGAAAAATCAGCTCGTAATCGTTTCGTTAAGTACCTAATATAGTTGAGCATTCTACAATTATTGTTTCAGTTATTAATATGAACTGATTTCTTTAATCAATTAAATTAAAACTTTGATAAAAAAAAAACAATTAAATTAATTATGTTTTATGTTAGTGTCTTTAAAATTAATACAGTAAAACTTTGTTTTTATTTAGCCTAAATATATAAAAGTAGGAGTCATTCGTTTTTATTGTTAGAATTTATGATAAAATAGTTTCAAATCATGCAGTCGCCAAATTCTGATTTCAGATTATCCAGGGATAACAATGTAGACAATATACAAAGTGATAATTACACAGTTGAACTAGATAGTGAACAAAGTAAGTAAGACTATCAAGATTTCTTTTTTATTTTTAACTAGCTGTTCCAGCGACTTCGTCCGCGTGGAATTTAACTTTATTTTTCTAAAATAAAAGTAGCCTAGGTTACTCCTTATTACATTAGCTACCTGCCAAAAAAAGTCCCGTCGGTCTAGCCATTTCAGAGATTAGCCGGAACAAATAGACCGACAGACAGACAGACAAAAATTAGAAAAAATGTTAGTTTGGTGTATGTACCGTATATATATTCATATGCATGTAGTAAAAAACGGTTATTTCAGTATTACAAACAGACACTCCAATTTTATTTATATGTATAGATGTATAAATTAGCTGACCCGCGTAACTTCGTCTGCATCATACTTACTCAATTTACATTATATCTTTTTAATTAATATATTACTGTAAAATTTTATCAAAATCCGTTCAGTAGTTTTTGCGTGAAAGAGTAACAAACATCCATCCATACTCACAAACTTTCGCGTTTATAATATTATATATTAAAATATTTTTAAAACAACCCCTATGCTATAAAAACATCAATTAGCTTATGGCTCAACTGATGGTAAGTGATTACATTAAAATTAATATTTATGTCGATAAATTGCTTAGCGCGGCGTAAGCCGTGCTAGTGGACATCGAGGCCATAAGTGAAAAACTTGTGGTCAACGAGCTCCTTGCGTTCTTGCGCCAAAAGCTGGACATAATGGACGAAATAAGTGCAGTGCAGATATGTATGTCCAACTTCAGCCAGGACGACATCGCGAAGGCGAAGGTGCTATTCTTCGAGTCCCTTAACAAAAGCTATAACAAAGAAACAGAAGAGCTTGCAAGACATAATAACGAAGGAGACCGACCCTGACGACGTGTCGAGTTTTATAGCGAAGGACCTCAACTTCCTCCTTTTACAATCAACCACGTCGAGATAACCAGCCTACTAAACGATATAGTCTTCTTAAAAAAGAGTTTGACCAACGTCACGTTACGGTTTAACGTGCATGAAGATAATATTCGTGAGTAGAGCAAGGCCGTGGATTGCGGATTCGTGAGTGGATTTGCGCGATTCACAAAACGTATCTAGGTCACCCGATGTTGTTATAAAAATGAACCCGCGCCATGGAGCCTGCCTGTATGTGTCCGCGGTGGACCCTGCATTTTCGCTGCAAACAGATCATCCGCTATCGTGTCGCCCAGCACACCCCGCGCCCCCAGTGAGCTCCCTCGTGACTGCCTGTGGAAGCAGCGCCAACAAAATAATAGCTGCAACCAAAGCGTCGCGATTTTGTCGTCGTCGATGCTAGCAAACCAACTGCTTCAGTACAGCGGCATCTGCCAAACATTGACTTTATGTGTGATCCCACTGGTAACCACGATCATGATGACTTCATCGTGATACAAAAGAAGAGACGCACAAACAGGGCCAATCAGAACCACTGTGCCCATCTTCCTGTTGCGTGCTGCAACATCCAAAATAAACCTTTACATTTTTTTCAGATCTCGTTAAAGTCAGTGGGTGGCGACTGCGCTGGCGTCAATTCCAGGCTTTATTTAAGCGACAAATAAAATTCATGGCATCTAAAAAGTACTCCTTTACACTACTGGTAAGCATCGCATTTATAATTTTCTGTGGATTTTCATAGTTATTGTAAAATTAACAGCAACTAATGTACGGAGAAACGATGCGGTACACTTAATGCTTACATAATTTTATGTTCTGTTTTTATATATTGCATGTTGTAGAGTATATAAATACAACATCCACGCTAGTCTTCAAAGATTTATAACTAAAAGAATATTCATGATAGCAGTATAGAAGTATAGTATAGAAATCAGGTATCAGGGGAATTTCATTTAATTGGTTTAGAAGCTACCAATGATATGGTAAGAAAGGAAGTAAATAACGCGATGACTGCGAACAGGGATAAATGGAAGCGAAAGACATATTACGCCGACCCCAAATAAATGGGATAAGGAAGAAGCAGATGATGATAATGATGATGGTGGTTTAGAAGCTACCAACAAGACAAAGTAATATACATTTTTTTTGCATATAGATTACTTGCAAAAAAAATGTAAGAGAATCAGTACGCTCGCAGTTTAGGTTTAATAGAAATTGCGTTCCTCAGAGCCCTCAATTACTTTTTCTCCTGTATATATGAAAATACGATTTGGAAAAAGACATACATATTGACAATATTTGCAAAAAAATAATAGATTTGTATTTGCATCGTTTAAACTCCGACAAGTAGCTATTTTACAAACTGCGCGTTCAATGTGTATCATGGTTTTATTTCTTATGGATTGCTATTTGGGGCAATCCATTTGATGTAGATAGAGCTTTTAAAGCTCAAAAAATTGTATTAGAGCCCTTTGCAATGTCTGGTGCAGAGACTCATGTAGATCTCTATTTAAGAAACTTGGTATTCTTCCGTTGCCTTGCATGTATATACTCAATATCTGCACCATTTATGGCACAAAAAAAATATTACATTACCGGTTACTGGCCAAATATTTTTATGACATCAGAGAATATTTATATAATGATGACACATGAAAAAGTTCATATACGTACTGTACTATATTTCTTTCAAAATGGGATTCTATTGTAAATCTATAAACATAATATATGTACCTTACTAATACTAGTGATCAAGAAAGTGGTAGTATTTTTTGGGTCTGCTGATCACAATAAAAGTACAGAGTAAGGGCGGTCGCTTTTGTATCTTCTTGCTCTGTACAGTTCTAGTGCAATAAAGAGTAATAAAAAAATGGTTTGTATTTGAAAATAATCCAATTTGTATATTTTACAGCAACTGGTCCTACCAGTCCTCATGGCATGCTTATTCACGAAACTGTACAACGACGAAGTACCCGAACCGTATATCTCCAAACCGAAGCTGATGGATTTCAGCCTATATAACAAGATATTGGATAAACGTGCACTGTTCAATGTGGATTTAAGCGATGTGCCTGCGAGGAGAGATATCAAGCTGTGCTGCGGCGTAACAGAGGAACAAAGCACAGATATTACCAGAGGTAAATATCCCATTTCACCTTATTTTTAGATCTAGATACGCGGTAGCGTGTCAAGCCGAGTTTCAAGTAAGAGAACTGGCGAGCAGCACCGTGTGTATATTTACACGAACCATTTGGAGGAACTTTTGACCCCCTCATAACTCAAAAACTCTCTTTCACATAAACCTGTCAAATTTGGTTTATATATTGTGACTTGCGAGATAAATATGTGTTCCAAATTTCATAAACATATCTCAAACGGTTATTTAGATATTAACGTCCAAATATCGTCATTTTTATCACTGATCAACTATAGATCAAAATTATAACCCACTTCCAGATGACCTAGGAAGTTCAAATTTGGCATGCAGATAGGTAATTAAGTGTCAGACCTTAGGCTACAGTATATTATCCTAAGTTATAAGAAGAAATGATATTTTATATTGTTATAAATACATTTCAGGACAGACCATTGAACTTGGCACCCATTTAGATCTCACCTCTTTTGTCGTAGAAGTCAACAATCAAGGCATATATCATAATAGTAAACTCGGCTATCATTTCACAATTATGTTTTTCATGGTATATACTCTACTAGTTACTTGCAATTTGGTCTGCGTAGATTTTTATTTTAATTAAAATAAATGCAATTTCTAATATAAGTGACTCCTTATAACATTAGCTATTTGCAAGTCCCGTCAAAAATGGTCCAACTATTTCAGGGAATAGTAAGAGAACTTAAATTTTAACTTTAGTGCCTTTATGAATTTATCATTGCAAAATGACGGATATTTGACTATGGAACAAAGACATAATTATAGAGTTAAAGATAATTTATAATTATAAAACATGTCTTTGGAAAACATAAACTGTGGTATAAAAATACAATTTTAAAATAAAGTGCGAAGAAATATACGAGATATCACGCACGAAAGAGTGAACACAAAAAATATAGTAAAATTCAGTCACGATTGCGCCAGCTGCCTGTCCCCGCGCTAAATGAGTAACAAATGTTTTGTTTTATTTATTCAGATATTATCCATATTGGCCAAATCGACAAATTGGAATATAACAAATATTTGACTGGGATGGAGCTGAATGATACAGATGGAAAGGTAAGTTTGTGACCCGAAAAAAGTTGATCATTTGATTAAATGTAATTGACAGTAAATATGTAGTATAAAAGTAAATAAAATATATGTATACACGTTCAAATGAAATGGTTCTTTTTTGTTATTATGTCTAGTAATTATTAATAGCATATTTGATATTTTTATTAATAGAAGAACTAAAAAAAACTTAATGTATTCAAAATTATTTCTTTGTCTTAAACATTGCTTTAAAGGTACAATATTCTAGAGTGAATTTTCCCTCCGATCGATCCCTCGTCCAAAACAGGAATCAAAATTAGACGGCCGTAGTCGAAGTTTGTAGGTGCTCCCTGACTCAGTCGGGCAGAAATTGGCCTTCAGCCGCTCAGTAAGTCCTTCTTCGGATTTGGAATGCCATCTGCACTAGCCCCCTATCGTTCGATGAAGCGGTAAAGCCCAGCTGCAGCGAACAACATTAGGATATAATTTGAAAAAAAAAATATAATTACTCTATATATTATGTTAATATGTATACAGTATGTTCATGAGAACAGACATTGAGGCCAGGCATGTCAGTAGTATATTATAAAAGATTATTTTTTATTTAGCATTGCGCAGTCACAGCAGATCTCATTATGAAAAACATATTTTGTTTCTTTTGTTAAGCATATTATTATTTAGTGTTTAAAACTGTCTTTAAATTTCTTATAGATACATTTATCAATTACCACATATTAATTTATTTAGATTACTTAGTACTAAAAAGCAACATTGAGATTAATTAATAAAATGTACACCAGGTTTTGTACACTACAATAGTGCGTCACGCATTGCCTGTCGCTATGAACACGTTCACCAACCGCCTGGGAATGCTCCTTCTCTCCGCAAACGAATCCGTCATCTCCACCTACAACCATCCTATTGATAATGTGGAGCTGACACAAAAAATACCTTTACAACATCCGAAGAGTCAAACGATGACTGCTGCATGGGCCATCACCATTATTATCTGTGAGTTTAATTATCCTATTCTACATTTACAAGTTAGATGAAAACAAAAGTAAGATAATACAAGTTGACAAATGCATGGTGTTTACAATTGGGCTGTTCCATTAGGGGGACTATCCATACATTAAGTCACAGAAAGATGTACAAACCTAGAGAAAAAAAAAAATCAAACATTTAATTTTAATCATTCAAATGGAGGAGATTAAAAACTTCTAAAATTGATGGCCCCATACATACATATAATACTTGCAGGTTGGATCCATTGTATGTCGTCGATCTGTACATTTTAAGTTGAAGATTTCGTCGTCACTGAGTTGTAATGTAAGATAGTTGCATTGGTATTGGTATATATATATTGTAATTTAACATAGTGTACCTGGCGACGATCATCAACTTCGTGTCGCTGCCGAGCAAGGAGCGGATGATGGGTACGCGCCACATACACGTGCTGTCAGGCTGCCCGCCGCTGCTGCACTGGGCGACCACGCTCGCCTCGCACGCGCTCGCCACGCTGGCGCCGCTCGTGCTGATGCTGGTCGCGGCCGCGCTCCTCGACGCCGACCGCACGCTCCGCCAGCCCGGCCTGCTCGGTGAGTGTCACCCTCACCGTCCCACTCCGCGCACTCACAGCGGCACGACGCACGCGCTCGCCATTTTTATTAACTTATCATATTTATTAGTTCGGTTATTGGACACAAAAATAAAAATTATATTTTTCCGTGTCTATTGTTTTTTTTTATAATTGGTATTTATTATTTGTGTGATACAATTATGTTTATTTATTAATTTACAGACGGTAATTTAAATATTTTTATTTCTACTAGAGTGTTATTGCTAATTTAGAATTCAATCAAATTTTAACAATTGTTTGTCACTAATGAGTAAGCTCATAACACCTCTAGTTACACATACATAAAATAATAATAATATGATTTATTTATTTCTCCTCACAAACATGATGGCAACAATACATGTAGTATTTTTTATAGTAAAATACTTAAATTTATTATTTTAATCGAATATATACTATATATACTAATTGTCTTAGAATTAAAGAAGATAATACTGATCCATTACAGATCCATATTTGAGACATAGTACCGTATAAACGTATTCTCTCTTTGCAGTGACATATGGACTAATTATGTTTATTGGAGGCCTCGCTTTCTTATCCCTCATGTACTGCATCAGTTGCATTTACTCCGAAAAAGTTACTGGAATTATACTAATCACTATGCTCATAGTTTTCGGTAAGTGTATTGTGAATTATATTAGATCTAATTTAAAATATTTATTAGCTTGTGTAAAAATAGTGTGTCTTTCTATAACCAAATGTCATTTCATAATGTTTGGTTAAGCAGTGAAAGTGTGAAAGACAAACGACAAGGAATCGAATCGCATTTATTAATTTGGTTTTAATACTCATTATGAGACGTAGTCGTTAAATCTGATTTCGCAATGTCTGGGAGATATGAAACATGTGTAATAACAATGCATTGTCTATTTTTTTTAATATAAATATCATAATGCTGCTGTTATAAAGCGCTAACAGTATATAATACTGGGATCAGTTTCCATTGTGAATGAATCACGTAAACGTCATTTATATATAGGGGGAAGTCCCCTAGTGGCGGACACCTAAGGTTTTTTATTAATAAAACAAAAAATATTTATTTATTTATGACTTATAGTACATAACAAAGTGAGAAATTAAATTTAAAAAAACACAACGTCTGATTAAATATAATTAATATTATCAATCAAACTTGGATAATGAAAAATGTTATTTATAAAAGTGGCACCTAGTACCGGACATTTCAAAATAGCCTGCATCGATCACATATGTAGCCATCTACACACTCGGGAATGTCTGTACATGCTTCATGTACCCTCCCACGACAGGATGAGCACTGGATTCAGTCTTTGTCAGTGTCTTCTAAACAAAATACGCAATTGTTGTGTTTGAGTTAGATGTTTCAGTTAATAGTTCTACTTTATTTCCATTTTTCCTTTAGATTTCACGTTTTTCGCTTGTTTTCCCTTGTCTACGCTTTTTCCTTTGATTTGCTTTCCTTTTTCATGAGCGGCATACATCTGTTAAATAAATCTTTAACGTGGTCCACCAAGACTTGTTCATACTCTGCTGAGAAGATGGTAGTGAACCTACTCAACTTCAGTTTCATCGTTTCTTCTCCTCGATTTAACGCCTTTATTTTATCATGTAGGCACTGTGTAAATTGTAATAAGTATTGGCCGTAATAGTTTACAGTATGAAATACTAATTGGAGCTGTGTCAATTCTAAAATGCGCTATAGTTTCGTTTTGATCATTACATGTATTCATTGTAATGCAAAAATTAAATTGTCAATTAAACTTGGTACGTCTTTTATTTGTATAATAGTTCTAGAATGTTAAACAGGCACTCTACATGATATAATAAAAGCGTTATATTTTAGGAAAATCGTATCCCATTGCAGCTTATTTTACACTCAGTTTTTTTGACATAAACTTAACAATTGCACTTTATAAGCTCTGTAGCTCCCACGATCCTTTGTTTTTCTTCTCTTCCATTTCAATTCTTTTTGTTCTGCTATTCTCTAAAGCAAAATTAAATAATTAGAATAAATAACGTAAATTCTTACAAGAAATATCAATATGTTTACTGTCCGGTTCTAAGGGACAGACAATTTCGTACATTGAGTGGTACCTACCAAAATTGTTTGAAAAATCTAATAATATTCTACCAGTTTACGAATAACAATCAAGTACTACTTTTATTTTTGAATACCACTTAAATGTAAATGCATAATTATACCAGAATTACTTCGATATTAGTGACGCTGTGATTTCTCGCCAAAAACAGTGAAAAGGGAGACATAGGTTTTCACGACGATGAGTTTGAAAGACTGAAAGTGCAGTGCGTATCGATAGCTATCTTTGCATGATAAGTGCGATCAAAGGAGGTCACACAACGCTCCATAGTCCGACCTCTGGCCGTGATCATTACATGTACTATACCTGTGCCCCTCGCGGCTTTGAGACGCGCGTGCAGGCGAGTGATGCGCGTGTAGATGAGTGACGCAACGGTAATGGTGTGGGTGCAGGGTGCGTGACGCCGACGGTGCGGTTCGCGACGGAGAAGCTGGAGGGCGGCACCACGCGCGACGTTGCGCATTGGATGGCGTGCGTCGCCGGCGCCACGCTCGCGCCGCACGCCGCCGCGGAGGCCGCGCTGCAGGCCGCCAATGTCGGCCGGCTCAACGCCTACTGCGCGCTCAACCGCCACCTCTGCCCGCGCCTCCCCGTGCACGACGCCGGGTTCGACGTGGAGCGCTGCTGCGGTGAGTGCACCCACCTCCTCCTCTGCTGGCCGCGCTGCAGGCCGCCAATGTCGGCCGGCTCAACGCCTACTGCGCGCTCAACCGCCACCTCTGCCCGCGCCTCCCCGTGCACGACGCCGGGTTCGACGTGGAGCGCTGCTGCGGTGAGTGCACCCACCTCCTCCTCTGCTGGCCGCGCTGCAGGCCGCCAATGTCGGCCGGCTCAACGCCTACTGCGCGCTCAACCGCCACCTCTGTCCGCGCCTCCCCGTGCACGACGCCGGGTTCGACGTGGAGCGCTGCTGCGGTGAGTGCACCCACCTCCTCCTCTGCTGGCCGCGCTGCAGGCCGCCAATGTCGGCCGGCTCAACGCCTACTGCGCGCTCAACCGCCACCTCTGCCCGCGCCTCCCCGTGCACGACGCCGGGTTCGACGTGGAGCGCTGCTGCGGTGAGTGCACCCACCTCCTCCTCTGCTGGCCGCGCTGCAGGCCGCCAATGTCGGCCGGCTCAACGCCTACTGCGCGCTCAACCGCCACCTCTGCCCGCGCCTCCCCGTGCACGACGCCGGGTTCGACGTGGAGCGCTGCTGCGGTGAGTGCACCCACCTCCTCCTCTGCTGGCCGCGCTGCAGGCCGCCAATGTCGGCCGGCTCAACGCCTACTGCGCGCTCAACCGCCACCTCTGCCCGCGCCTCCCCGTGCACGACGCCGGGTTCGACGTGGAGCGCTGCTGCGGTGAGTGCACCCACCTCCTCCTCTGCTGGCCGCGCTGCAGGCCGCCAATGTCGGCCGGCTCAACGCCTACTGCGCGCTCAACCGCCACCTCTGCCCGCGCCTCCCCGTGCACGACGCCGGGTTCGACGTGGAGCGCTGCTGCGGTGAGTGCACCCACCTCCTCCTCTGCTGGCCGCGCTGCAGGCCGCCAATGTCGGCCGGCTCAACGCCTACTGCGCGCTCAACCGCCACCTCTGCCCGCGCCTCCCCGTGCACGACGCCGGGTTCGACGTGGAGCGCTGCTGCGGTGAGTGCACCCACCTCCTCCTCTGCTGGCAGAAGCGGCATTCTCCGAACTCTACAATGCAGATGTTGTCTTTTATTTTTATTTTTACTGCATTTAAGTGAATACCATCTAAACGTTGTCTTGAATATTGTTGATCTTCACGACAACGACAATTTGGTCGTTCACACGAGTGTCTTTACCTCGGCATAATACATTTTGTATGGTAAGTGCCGTGGAAATCCGCTCTCTTCGTGCGGTTAAACGGATATACTGTCGTATATATTGACGGATATATCGTCTTTGGAACTCCTTGCCACTTTCTATTAGATCTGCTCAATGCCATTCCATTTTCAAAAAACTAATCAAATCTCACTTTTTCTCTAATTAAAAATCTTTCTTTAATGTTTGTTTTCGTCATACATGAATTTTTTTTATATATTTTATTTATGTATGTGTATATTATTTATATATACGTTTAGTCTATGTATGTATATGTATTTAGTATTCATATAATATTTAACTCTCTTTTTATAGTGCGCCACCTACCTTTCCCTCACCCAATACTTTTATCTCCCAGGTTGTCTGTAAGAGATCGCTTTGAGCGATCAGGCCACTTATTTTTGTTCGCATATTTTTCTTTCTTTCTTTTTTGTAATTATTTGTTTTTTTTTATGCACAATAAAGAGTTTTTATTATTATTTCTTAAACTTAAAAAATTCTCATCTCACCTCTTAAGGAGGAGAGATGGCAACTTACCCCCGGTAGAAGCACAGTCGGCCGGGGTTCAGGGCCCCAGGGAGAGAAACCGGCGTATAATGCGGGCAGAATCTAAGAGCACCGCATTCTGCATCTTTCCTGGGAGTGAGCCGCCTAGGAATACCAACCGTCTGAGATGTTGTTCCAGACTTGTTGGGATAAGACCGTTCACCGACATAACGATTGGGATGATTTTGGTGGTGATGTCCACCAAAATCATTTCGGTCACCTCGTGAGCCAGGTCGAGATATTTTCTCTTTTTCTCGGTTTCGGCTTTCACGAGGTTCGCGTCATGCGGTATGGTGATGTCCACCAAAAACACCCTTGAGAGTGCCCGATCCATCACCACGATATCAGGTTTGTTCGCAAGAACGGTCCTGTCAGTGATGATGGATCGGTCCCAGTAGAGCCTGACGCTGTCGTTTTCGAGGACCGGATGGGGCTCGTACTTATAGAAATAGAAATAGAAATAATCTTTATTCAAATAAACTCATTACAAGCACTTTTGAATAGTCATATTTTGATTCTACCATGTATGGCAACCTCTCATTCGCGAGGCCGTACTTCAGAGCTAGTTCTTGATGGAGTATTTTGGCTACCTGGTTGTGTCTGTGCAAGTACTCAGTGTTGGTAAGAACTGAACAACCCGAAAGCACATGTCTGAGTGACTCACCGGGATTTCGACATGCCCGACAGATGTCCTCAGTGCCATCCTTCAGAATGTGCTTTCGGTAATTGTTCGTCTTAACCACCTGATCCCGTATTGCACAGACAAACCCTCGGTCTCTCCGAAGAGATCACCGAACTGGAGCCAGTGCACGGGGATCTTCGTGTTGACGTACGGCCCGTGAAGGACTTTGAAGAACCTTACATGCAACTCCTTCTCTTTCCATACCGCCTCCCGCTGAGAGTTACCCAGGACTTCGGGTTTTCGCCAGTCCTCTTTAGCCAGAGAAAGTGGGGTGACTCCTTTGTTACATTCTATGACCTCTCTATGCAAACCCTCGTCTTTTTTCTCCAGAAAATATGTCCTGGAGCTGTCAATCTCGCGATTGTGCATGATCTTAACGCTTAACAAGCCTCGACCACCAGCCGACATACAGCCTCATTCTGAATTTCAAAAATTCTCATTCCAACTGACGATTTCGGGTGATACATTCTATGGAGGGTCATAGTTGTGCGGACTTTTCGATCCAGGGCTTCGAGTTCGATTTGAGACCATCTGAGCACGCCAAAAGTGTAAAGGAGTACGGGTATGACCCAGCCGTTATATGCTCGGATCTTATTGGTACCCGACAAGGAACTTTTCAGTACATACTCTTGTAAGGCGCGCAAAAAATTCCTCACGGACTGACTGTTTCATATCCGTCTCCCTCAATCCGATGTTTTGTGACATGCCCAGACACTGGTATGTTTCAGCCTCGGAGAGGGTTTTGATATTATTATTATATTGATCATCTTCAACTATTGTAACCCAAATTCTTCCTGAATCACGACGTCTGGGAACACTACTTCTCTCCTGGTACCGTCTCTAAACAGTTGAAACTGTCCGCTGCGAATAACCAACCAGGAAACCACATCGTGCTGACTGTGATTTTCCTGGATTAAAATTACGAGCCTAGTCGCTATAAATGCATCCATATCTCTCCTATTGAGATTTGTAATCAAAGACTCGATATGAACCGTCTGCCCTATTAGTGGATGAATCAAGTCATAAAATTAAATGTCGCAATAAAACAATTTTCAAGATCCTTTAAGTGAAGCTTTAAAAAAAAGAAAAAAGTATTCTCACCAAATTGATTTGTCACTATAAACATTAATTAAACTTTAAAGAAGTCGTAATTTAACATTTACAGATTATTACGGACTCGAAACAATTGTAATTGTTTTGTTTATATTCTCACTATTACTACGTAAGTATTTTATTACGAGCCCTTATTTTGTTTTGAACATAATTTATTAGTAATGAGATGTCAATTTAAAACTTGAAGATATTGTATTTCGACTGCACATAGTGTTAGAGATGACTCTGCTCGCATGATTCACGCCTATATATCTAACAAATGTAATGGCCAATGGCCATGCTAAATCGCTTTTATTATTTATTTACAGAACAAAAACAGAATCCAAGGTGCTATTTCTGTTTCGACGATTATTCTCCATTATCTGCGATGATATTTCTCATTATACAGTTCTTGGTATATATGGTAAGTAACACTTTAAAACTC